ACCCCGCACAACATGATCTACTCGACCACCATTATGGTTTACCGCCAAAAAAAAAACCGGAGGCAAAAAAACAAAACGGTAACCTGGTTGCCGAGTTCACGAAGTGAATTGGCTTGTTTTACAACGTCGTTGCCAAGCGACGAAAACCCAATCCCGATGGCAAACACCGGGGGGGGCAGGGTCCTGGAAGGCTTGCAGCACTACTGTACTGCACTATACTGAACACTTCACCAAGCAGACGGGGTTGTGTACGCGCCCGTGCGAGTCCGCCCCCCTCCCTTTTCCTAACCGTCGGGCCGCCCCCACGCAAGAGGCCTCGGGGGGGGGGGGGGGGGGGNGGGGGGGGGGGGGGGGGGGGGGGGGGGGGGGGGGGGGGGGGGGGGATCAACCGCATCCAGATCTTTCACGACGCCATTCTCGGTGCCGTTGCCGTTGCCTTGCAGCGGCCAGTTCTCCGCGTTGCTACTGCCGCTGCTGCTGCGGTGTACGATAGATGCCACAAATCGTTTTACCGCTCGAGCCACACCAAGGAGCGTCGTACGTACGCACTTAGACGTATCCATACGTACGTACCTTGACGTTCCCCGACATGCACGGCGTCGTGACAGGCTGCCATAGCTCCGACCGCCACTCCGGGTTGAGACGATGGCGGTCTCCCGTTAGCGTCACCTTCTTCGTGCGGATGGGCTTCCCGCCGGCTACCTCAACCTAACAACCAAGAGTAAGGTTCCAGTACCGGGGGGGGGGGGGGCAATCAAAACGAGAAATTAATTGTGAGTGCGGGCGGGAGAAGAGAGGGGCTACGCCGTGCGTCAATCTTGTATGTGACTGGAAGTCCGTCCTCCATTAGGCAACGGGCCCGGGCCAGGGTACGGCATGGTAAAAGAGGGCACCGGGTACAAACCAGAGGGAGAGGTGTGGACTGCTGCGCAGAGCAACAAAAACAGAGGGACAGGCACGCAAAACAAATCTACTTCGCCGGCTTTTGTGCGCCTGGCAGGCGGAGGAAGAGACGAAGACATGCGGCATGCAAACAGCACAAAACATGAAGCGCCGAACGTGCAGCACAACGGCGAACGAGCTCATCAAAAAGCAAAGACAGGGCGAGTTTTTTTTTTACAGCAACAACGACAACATCATCGAAGAACAATGCAACGACAAAGACGAGAAAAAATCAGGTGCTCGCATTCATTCGCACCACGGCCACCAAGCAAACGACAGCAGCAGCCACGTCAACATCAACGTACAACAGACAGCGAGCGCGCAAGGGGACACCTGGAAGAAGAAGTCTCCGCCGCCGGCCCCCCCGCCGAAGTTCTTGTCCATGACGGGCATGTACTCGGCCTTGGCGACGGTGGTAACTAGCCACTTCTGCTGCACCTCGATGGCGGGAGGCATGACGACCAGGGAGTCCATGCCTCCGGCGTTCGCCTCGGCGGCCTTCTCCTTCCTCCGGTCGGCCTCCTCGTCGTGCACCTGATTGGTCGACGGCAGTTGCGATCCGATTGGTCGGTTGTTGGTGCGATTGATCAACGGAAAAGTGTCGATCCGACTGGTCGGGTGCGACTGGTCGACGACAGTATTGATCCGATTGGTCGATAGTGGGTGCGACTGGTCGACGACAGTATTGATCCGATCGGTCGATAGTTGGTGCGATTGGTCGACGGAAGGATTGATCCGATTGGTCCACAGATCAGTTGGTCCGATTGATTGACCGGTTGATGGGTCGCAAGCAAAGCAACCCTTGCATCAAAAGCCACGGCAAGCACTTACCTCCTACTGTAGACACACACCAAAACCAAAAAACGGCCCGGATTCGCGAGAGAACTCCGGTGTTTTGCCATCGGGTTTGGGTTTTCGTCGCTTGGCAACGACGTTGTACAACAAGCCGCCCCCCCCGGTATTTGCCATCGGGATTGGGTTTTCGTCGCCTGGCAACGACGTTGTAAAACAAGCCAATTCACTTCGTGAACTCGGCAACCAGGCTACCATTTTTTTTTTACCTCCGGTTTTTTTTTTGGCGGTAACCATAATGGTGGTCGAGTAGATCATGTTGTGCGGGGTGGAGAACCCTCACTCCGCGCAAGGGGGATGATCGCACCACGTTGTGTTAAAATGGTCAAGCACCCTCGAGGCAGTTACAC